GATGTACCCAGGTTAAAACAATATTTTCGGATGGTACTCTTGTTCGTTTGCTTATGTTATGCCTTTTACCTCTCTCTTCCATTGCTGAAAAAATCATTTTAATTTCAATAGACTGTATTGACCTTGTTTTTGCTAATTGGATTTGACATCAGGTTAGCTTATTGAAGACCTTTCGAAATATTAACTGTTTTAACAGTACAGTGTAGGGGAGATAACTCAATTTTTCCGAAATAAATAAATATGTCTTTAGCTATTCAAACAGTATCTGTACATGTTTTGGATATGAACATTTTAAAAAATCTCGTATATTTGAAAACAAACTAGCATACCTTAAATCCCCGGGATACATGTCTAAAGATCCTCGTTGGATAAATAACGGATAACTAAGCAAACAACACATTTTGAAAATTTCAGAATTTGATATGGATTTATAGGGGGAATGTAGCTACTTAAAGAACAGATACATCTGTTATAGTTGATCCCGGTTATTCACCCCCGTGGTCAATTGTACTTAAAAAGTGGTTGTAAACGTACACGTCCTACCGATAGTAATAAACATGTACACTCTGCTGGTAAATACACTGGTAGACAATGGTAATATGTCAAGGTAGTATACCCCTATATTCATGATGTATTGTAGAATATATCATGATTTGAATACTCTTTCAATTAATTTAATTAATTTATTAAATGTTTTAGCCCTATGCTGTTATGCACATATACCTGTAGCATGATAAAGGGTAGTTAAAGCGATGTAACGTCGTTTACCGGGATTCCTGTGAACAGTTGAGATCTAATACATTAAATGGTATCTGAAATTCTTTTAATAAACTTTGTCTTTCGAGAAATTAAAAAATAAATAAGCAGTGTTTTATTTGTTGGCTAACAATCCCAGTTCAGTTTGTAAGCAGGAAATGCAATGTTGTTTGCAGACAATGATCAACCTATTAGATGTTTTGTCAGGTTGCGCAACAACAATATTATCGTGCAAATCATGGAGTGTTGTTTGGACTTTGGAATCAGGAAATATAGACATGTGTTTCGTTATTATTATTTGTCTTTATATCAAACTGCATATACTTTTAACAATGAAACAGAGGGAAGATAAATGACATGGCCAGACCGAGATACGATCCCGGGACCCTCCGAACTCTCGGATCCAGACCGCAATACGAGGCCGGGACCCGCTGAACTCTACCGATAAACGACCAAGGCCAGTTCTGCTTCAACAGCAATAGTGTTAATAGATTGAAGATAGAATGGAAAGTTTACAAACATGCGTCTGTTGCTTACACTCAGTTAATTAGCTGTAACAATAAGGTATTGATATATAACACTTACAATTGAAATATATAGAGAAGAATATGATCATTATAAACGTTACTCATACAACGCAAATGTAATTGTACTTTCTGTATTTAAATATGGAGGTGACATGAGGGCGAGTACTAATCAATCTCTGATGAAGGGCTAAGCGCGAAAGCTCGGCCTTGAGGTATTCTTGTTATCGACATATTATGAAAGTTAATGCATGTAACAACATGACGTGCCAAACTATATTAGGATGACATTACTGGGAATAAAAAATATGTAACACTGTACGATAATTTATTCCATCACGGCTCCGATCGTTCTTACTTTCAAGGAATATTGAGGTGTTACACATATAAGTTTGTATTCTAGAATTTCCATTAAATTCAAAAATGAAAATAATTATAATGATAAATCAAGAAACAAACAAGCAAACGAAAACAATAATATATATTTACATTAAGTATGCAAATCCTTGTATTCCTATATAAAACGTCGAGAGGTACTTGCCTTCTTAGGGCAATAAATGCAATTGGAGCAGGACAATTTTGACGCTTCTCTTTCCACCTATCATAACAATAGACAATCGTAAAACAATTATTTGGATTGTTCAATGGATTTCGTTTTCAATAACGGTACAGAAAAATCAATAAGGTTAATATAAGGGTATATCTATATTTATTGAATGGATTCTTACCATCAATACTGCTATGAGCTGAAATTGGTTACAACCATACATGAATTCAAAGCGGGATTCGTGCAATAAGGGTATTGCCAATTTGTGTTCATACCTGCATGATTTTTATTAATATGAATTCAACCGCATGTTCGCACATTTTTTCTTAAAATATTGTTTCATTGCACCTTATTAACATTGTAAGCTCAATAACGTGACAGTATTTTTTTAGTCACCACTAGGTTGTTTTGGGTGCTTTTTGGTCAAATAGCATTTTTACAGAAATACAACATTTTAAAGGATTTGAATGGGTTTTTTTAAAATAGTAGTATTTTATAAAGGTACAACATTTTTGAAGATTCGTTACGTTCGTAAAATAGCACTATTACATATCAGGCTACAAAATTTACGGAGACTCGATTGTTTTGTGTAATAGCTGTCATACATAAAAATGCAACATTTTAGAAGATAAAACGGAAGTCTTTCATAAAAATACAACATTTTAGAGGATATGATAGGTCTATTAAATCGTTTGTTCCAAACCGCTATCTATTCTTGTATCGACCTGTTTTCCTCCTGTTATAACTAACCATGTACTTAATGGATCAATTATCCTGAAAAATGAATCTGCCTCTTCACCAATGTGATTGTCAGGCAATAAAAATACTAGAAGAAAAGATAATGACACCATGATTATCATAAAATTGGTATTTACTTTCCACAGTATTAATTTAAGGGTCCTTTTTGATACGTTTGCTACAGGTACACTATTCACATACACCATCGGGTAACATTAATTAAACATAAAACAGTTCATATGCATGTCCCCGTGACAGAAAAATTAGAAGCCTCTATTTCCATTCTGTGTTCACGGAGTTTGATGGGTTCGTGAACGTTACGCTACAGCTGCTTGATTGATTCTCAACACGGTTGTCAAGTCGATTTCTTATGTTCGTGGCATGAGTCGGGTACCTCACAATCGACGTGTTTGAATAAAGATTAAGGTTAAACCAATGAGTCCTTCGCAAAGATGATTAAAAAACTTAGCAGTTCAAAGTGTAACGCAGGACGAACAGCGGGATTAATCGTACCACGAACCAACGAATAACAAACATCAATATTCACAATTAATTAAATATCATGTACAATTACCACAATAATGACAATATACGATCATGACGATATTTACACAGCTCACTCTCTAACACACTCCTCGCATACAAAATACTAGAAACAATTACACAAGGTAACTACAGTCTCTGTCACCACTCCACGAAGGACTTGGCAGTACGGTAAACTGTCCACACAGGTTCCAAAATATATATGAAAGACGTTTTGGAATGTCCACACAGGTTTCCAAACTATCAATGAAGGATTCACACAGGTGCCATGGATCCACATAGGATATAATGTATCAACGCAAGGTATCCACACAGCATTAAGGACATATCCACGAAGGATTCCGCATAATGTCCACACAGGACTCTGTATAAGGTCCACACATGACTCGTTTCCACGAAGGAAAGATGTACACTTATTGTCCACACAGGACGTTCATATGGTGTTAATGGAATAGAGTTCC